ACAAGGATCTACATATAACCCCCTCCCTGGGAGACGGACAACAGAAAAGTGGGTAAAGGAAGGCGTCGGACAGTGTGGGACATGACAAAATAATAATTTATAAATTATCAAGGGTTCCTGAGAGAAGGGGGGCGGGGAAGGAGGGGAAAAAACAAGGAGCTGATACCAAGGGCTCAAGTAGAAAGAAAATATTTTGAGAATGATGATGGCAACAAATGTACAAATGTGCTTGACACTGGATGTATGTATAGATTGTAATAAGAGTTGTACAAGCCCCCAATAAAATAATTTCAAAAAAATTAAAAAGTAAATATTTTCTTTAAAGAAGAGTTTGACAGGACTGGCAATACATGCATGAACACAGCCTGAATTCATAAACTAATCAAAGTGAACCAAGTAGTATGTTATTTTAATATGTCACCTATTTAACCTATTAATGAGGTAGATATTTTTGCCTCCAGGTTTCTTTGGAAAACAGTCTGCCCTTCTATAGCACGCTGCTACCCAATTATTAACTAAATCTACTTTAGTTCTAAATATCCAAATTAACATTATTAATTTTCAGATATGAAATAAGTAACCAAAGAAAGCATCCTATTAATAGTATCCAATTATGAACTGTAACTTAGTATATAAACACACTTTTCTTCTAATTCAGAGAGAGTAATTTTTTCCACAAGGTGCTAGCTGCTTACCTCTGGACTGTCCTTCAAGGCGTCAGAACGGGGAAGTTCTGAGAGCTGGGAGAACCGGCGGTCATAAATGCACAAATGAAGGTGTTTATCAAGTACTCGAAAATCTTCATAACTTCTTTTAACAATCCAACTTTTACCCTATAAATAAGGAAAAATACTCCTTTTATTTCTATTGAAAAATTGAGTTGGGCATTGTCCTATAATGCTACTTTAGTCAAGGTTTTACGGTCTAAAGGCTAGGCGACCAATGGGCACCCTGTGGAAGCTGAGTGAGACAGCCCACATTGAGTTGACCAGAACCTGACCAGCTGGAGATTTTTGAGCTGTGAACTGGTGCATATTGTTGCTGACTATATGGATGGCCTGTCCAGATTTGACTTTGCTTATGGATGCAGACTTCACAAGATTCCAATTGGATTGTCTCCTCAGAGCACAGGGTTGATATAAATAGGCAGTATATAAATTGGATACCCAAATTGGGTACCCAAATTGGGTGGATAAAGGCATGAAGTGGTTGGCTTATAAACATTCATAGGTTGGGGAACATAATCACAGGATTATAGGATTATGCTGTAGGTGTTAATTGCAATTGTGAGGCTAAAGAATTATGTACATGTGCCCAGTTGACAAGGGGTGGATTGAGGTAGTTAGTTTACTGTGCCAACCTGGCTGATAAACATGTGGGGTTAATTGAAGGGCAGAGGGATAAATGGCTCCGGGAGCCTCGCCTTTCTAATTCTCAGGTCTCTTGCTTTGTGATGGT